CCTCCTACCAGCGACTGCGTGACTATTCAGTGGCCATCATTCGCGAGATCGGAGTGGAGTGCGGGGGGTCCAACGTGCAGTTCGCCATCAACACTTTAGCATCCGCCCCTCTCCCCCCATCCCCTTCCCTTTCCTTTCCCTGACTCTTCTCCCCTCTCCCCCTCCCCCCCTCCTTCCGTTCCCAGCGTCTGCGCGACTACTCAGTGGCCATCATCCGTGAGATCGGGGTGGAGTGCGGGGGCTCCAACGTGCAGTTCGCCATCAACCCCAAGGACGGCGAGGTGGTGGTCATCGAGATGAACCCGCGTGTGTCGCGCTCCTCCGCGCTGGCGTCCAAGGCCACGGGTTTCCCCATCGCCAAGATGGCTGCTAAGCTGTCCGTGGGGTACACGCTCGACAAGATTCCCAACGATATCACTAAGAAGACGCCTGCCAGCTTCGAGCCCTCCATCGACTACGTGGTCACCAAGGTGAGCTCCCCTGTGCTCTCGCCCTCATCCCTCCCGCTCCTCTGCTCTCTCGCCCCACTCCTCTCTGCTCCTCCGCGCTGGCGTCCAAGGCCACGGGCTTCCCCATCGCCAAGATGGCCGCCAAGCTCAGCGTGGGGTACACGCTTGATCGGATCCCCAACGACATCATCAAGAAGACTCCTGCCAGCTTTGAGCCCTCGATCGACTGTGTCGTCACCAAGGTGCCTCAATAACAATCTCCTTCTCCTCCATGCTCGCACCGGCGCATTTTCCCTCCCCTTACCCCCTCCTCTCACCCCCTCTTCTCACTCCTCACCTTCCCTGTTCCCCACTTTTCCTTCCCTCCCTCCCCCTTCCAATACCCTCCCCTCTCCCAGATCCCGCGCTTCGCCTTTGAGAAGTTCCCGGGATCCGAGCCCACCCTCACCACCCAAATGAAGTCCGTGGGAGAGGCCATGGCCATCGGCCGCACCTTCCAGGAAAGCTTCCAGAAGGCCCTCCGCTCGCTCGAAACCGGCCACTGGGGGTGGGGGTGCGAGCCGGTGAAGCAGCTCGAATGGTCCCTGGACGACCTGAAATACTCAATGCGCGTGCCCAACCCCGACCGCATGTATGCCATCTATGCTGCCATGAAGCGTGGCATGAGCCAGCGGCAGGTGCAGCAGCTGACGAACATGGACCCGTGGTATCTCTCCCAGATGGGGGAGTTGCTAGAAGTGGAGGATTTCATGGGCAAGCTAGATGGGAACCTGCGTGCGCTGACCAAGGAAGACATGCAGCAGATCAAGCGCAGGGGGTACAGCGACCGGCAGATTGCCTTCGCTCTGAAGAGCACGGAGGAGGAGGTGAGGGGCTACAGGTTGGAGCTGGGCGTGGTTCCGGCGTTCAAACGCGTGGATACGTGCGCGGCGGAGTTTGAAGCGATGACTCCCTACCAGTACTCGTCGTATGACGAGGAGAATGAGGGCCAGCCGGATGCAGAGCGCAAGGTGCTGATTCTCGGCGGCGGGCCGAACAGGATTGGGCAGGGGATTGAGTTTGACTACTGCTGCTGCCACGCGTCGTTCGCGCTGCAGGCCGCGGGATTCGAAACCATCATGATGAACAGCAACCCTGAAACCGTCTCTACTGACTATGACACCTCCAACCGTCTCTACTTTGAGCCGCTGACCGTGGAAGATGTGATTAACGTGATCAATCTGGAGCGGCCCGATGGGATTATTGTGCAGTTCGGGGGGCAGACGCCGCTGAAGCTCTCCGTGCCCATCCAGCAGTATTTGGAGAAGACGCAGCTGCAGGCGGCGAGCGGGGAGGGCCCGGTGCGCATCTGGGGCACGTCGCCTGACTCGATTGACGCGGCGGAGGATAGGAAGCGGTTTGAGGCGATGCTGAACGAGCTGGGCATCAACCAGCCGCCCGGGGGGGTTGCACGCAGCGAGGAGGATGCTCTGGCGGTGGCGAAGCGCGTGGGGTACCCTGTGGTGGTGCGGCCGTCGTATGTGCTGGGAGGGCGGGCGATGGAGATTGTGTATAACGACGCGGCACTGCAGAAGTACCTCGTGACGGCTGTTGAGGTGGACCCTGAGAGGCCCGTTCTCGTCGACAAATACCTCGCGGTGAGTGGAAGTATTCTTGCATGAGATGGTGATTCTAGGGCTGGTGGTAACGACACCAGGTGCTGCTAGGATTGCAGAAGTATCTGGTCACGGCTGTCGAGGTGGACCCTGAGAGACCCGTGCTGGAACCATAAACGGTAACATCTACATGTGCTGGAACCATGGGGGAACACCAGGGCTCTAGGAAAGGAGAGAGCCAGGGGATGTGCTCTCTCCTCTTCTGCGCCTAACCATCTCCATTGTTCAACGCACTCCCTTCCCATGCCCACGCCCTCTCGCCACACAGAACGCCACGGAGCTGGATGTGGACTGCTTGGCGGACAGCACAGGCGCGGTGACCATAGGAGGCATCATGGAGCACATTGAGCAGGCGGGCGTGCACTCGGGCGACTCTGCTTGCTCCCTGCCCACCCAGACCATCTCAGAGGAGGCACTCACCACCATCCGTGACTGGACCACCCGCCTTGCTCGCAAGTGAGTTGGACGTGAAGGGATGGGGAGAGAGTGGTAAGTGGTTTCCGCAAGTGAGTTGGTTGCCATATGCTGGGCGGGTAGAGGCGCCAAACATAGCCTCTCACGCGAGTGGGTCATGCATGGAGGGGACACTGGGGAATTGTTGTGCAGTGTATGGGGTGAGTTGGTAGTGACTGGGTGACCTGTGACTTGTCTGACTCTGAAGTCATCTTTGTGTGTCACTGCGTTCATTGCCTGCGTCGAAATGCCACAAACATGTCAAACACACACACCATATTCTCTCAGACGTCAACCCTCGCACCCCTCCCCCGTCTCCCTCAGGCTGAACGTGGTAGGCCTGATGAACTGCCAGTACGCAGTCATGCCAACAGGCGAGGTCTACATCATCGAGGCCAACCCCCGTGCCTCCTCACCGTGCCCTTCGTGGCCAAGGCCATCGGCCACCCCCTCGCCACCATCTGCGGTTGTTGTGTGGTTCACTTCACACAAACCCCCAGTCATGCCACACACACCATGTGCACTAACCCCCCCCCCCCTCCCCTCTCTCTCTCTCCCCTCTCCACCCCTCCTCCACCCTCACTCCCCCCCCCTTAGGCTCAATGTCGTGGGTCTAATGAACTGCCAGTACGCAGTCATGCCAACGGGCGAGGTCTACATCATCGAGGCCAACCCGCGCGCCTCCCGCACGGTGCCCTTTGTGGCCAAGGCCATCGGCCACCCCCTCGCCAAATACGCCTCTCTCCTCATGGCGGGCAAAACTCTCCACGAGATTGGCTTTGACAAGGAGGTGATCCCCAACCATGTGTCGGTGAAGGAGGCGGTGCTGCCGTTTGACAAGTTCCCTGGCTGTGACGTGCTGCTGGGGCCAGAGATGCGGTCCACTGGGGAGGTCATGGGGCTGGATGCCACGTTCGCAAAGGCGTTTTTGAAGGCGCAGGTGGCGGCGAATCAGCGGCTGCCAACTGGCGGGTCGGTGTTTGTGAGCCTGAACGATCTGACGAAGGAGGGGGGCGTGGAGGTGGCGAAGAGCTTTGTGGAGCTGGGGTTCAAGATACTGGCCACTGAGGGCACGGCCAACGTGCTGGAGGATGCGGGCATCGAGGTGGAGCGGGTGCTCAAGCTGCACGAGGGACGCCCCCACGCTGGTGAGTGTGCGACCTTGACTGTGACCTTGAGATGTGTCCTTGTGCCCTTGTGCGCTAGAGGTAAGTGGGAGCTTTGTGGGCTTCAAGGTGCTGCTGACCACTGAGGGCACTGCGCATGTGCTGGAGGATGCGGGCATTGAGGTGGAGCGGGTGCTGAAGCTGCACGAGGGCCGCCCCCACGCTGGTGAGTGCCTCGGCCCTTTGACCCTGGCATGTATGTAAAATATGTATGCTCTCATCTTACCATGGTGTCAATTGCTGGGTTCTATATGCCCTCATGACCCTCTCACTGCCTCAGCTACTGTTGACAGGGCAATCCACTCAATCCCTTCCCTCCCTCGTTCCCTCCTCCCCTCCCCCCCCACCAGGCGATCTGGTATCCAACGGGCAGATCCAGCTGCTGGTGATCACCTCAGCAGGCGATGCGCTGGACCAGAAGGACGGGCGGCTGCTGCGCCGCACAGCGCTGGGCAAGAAGGTGCCCATCATCACCACCATGGCCTCTGCACGTGCCACTGTCAAGGCCATCCGCGGGCTGATTGAGTCGCCTATTGAGATGAAGGCTCTGCAGGATTATTACGTTGCTGGGAGCAAGGAGGCTATTGCTGATGCTGCTGCCACCGCTGCTGCTGCGGCGGCAGTGAGTCACTAAAGGGGTGGTTTGTGCTGGGATGGGAGGGCAGGGGCTTAATGGTGGGTTTGCAGTCTTGGGTGCCTGATCAAGGCAGGGGGTGGTTGCATATGAGATTGGGTATCTGGGCGAGGGTGGCTTGTGATCATCTTAGCGATCCTAGTACTCTGTATGACAGTACAAGTTATTGGGCAAAGCCCCAGTTATTAGTCACCGTAATTGAAAGTTCGAAATCTTTCACTGCACCATGATGATACATGCACACTGCCTGATAGGCTCTGATGGCACAGCAACCAGAGAATGGGTTCAGTTCAGGCGTTCGTTCTAGGTTCCAATCACAGCTGCAGGAATTTTGCACAGACACATAATGTTCTAATTTGGGAGCTCAAATAAAGATGGGCATCACAGGCATAACGAAGCACATTTACATATGGCACCGATTCACATGTCACCATCAGTGCAACTAAAGCTCGACTCTCTGTTGCTACCATCAGGTGCCCTGGTGTGTAGGCAGCAGAAGGACTCATTTCCGCTACTGTGTATACCTGTTAGAGCTACGGTAACTACAGTCGGTATACTAATCTGTAACACACCACTCTTATGTCAACCTCTGATATTTCTTTGGACCTCGGCACGAGGAAACCAGCTCTTTCTTCAAGTTGGGTTACGGGCAGGACTGGTCGGTGGTAACCAGCACGTTAGCACCTCCCAGCACAACACCCTTGACCTGCAGTGCAGCCTCCACGCTTGAGAGCTCATTTGCAGACACTGTCCGCTGCCTTGCCAGCACCAGCACCTTGGCCTGTAGGAGGGTAGAAGTGGTACGAGATACAAGGAGAGACAACAGGTGGCCAGGTGGTTGGTGAGCAAGGGGGGTTGGTGAGCAGGGGGTAAAAGATGAGGGATGAGTTGCAGAAAGCATAAGCACAAGTAGCATGTGGCATGAAACGAAACATCACACACCAAATTTGGCCCCGAGCCAGATGATTCCATACCAGACCTCACCTGTCCTTCCGTGGCAGCGAGCTTGGCTCGGTTGGCCGCAGAGCACCCGTACAGCACAATCAGGTCAAATCCCGGCGTGGCATGCACCACGGCGTATCTCACAGCAGCATCCCCTCCAAACTTCATCGCGACGCTGCCGTCGCCCTGCTTCCCCTGCACCAGCGTGCCGCGCACGCTCACTGCCTGGGTGAGGTTGACGGGTGACTCGAAGAGCGTGGCGGCGGCGGGAGTGGCGAGGGAGGAGAGGAGGCCGATCTTGGCTGCGGAGACTGCTAGCGTGCCCACAGCGGACGCCTGCCGCTGCAGGGCGAGCGTGGCGTTTAGCAGCTGAGGAGGGGGGTTGGGGGAAGGAGGGGAGAAAGAAAACGGGGCAGGGGAGGGGAGGGCAGGATGGGGTGTTTTAAGAATCATCTGACAATGGCCAGGAGCTGGCGGCGGGAGTGGCGAGGGAGCAGAGATGGCTGCTTATGAGGAGCCTCAAAAGTGCCCAGAGACGCGTCGGTGGGGGAGGTCGTACCTGGAGTCGGTTCTTCTTGGACGCAGAAGACGCCTGAACGTTCATAACGCCCAAGCGCATCTGCTCAGCCTGCTTCAAGATCCTCCCTCTCGACCGTTGGATCGCGTGCACCGACCGTCGGATCGCCTCCGTTGTATTCCCGATCCTGCTCCGCAGCGTGCTGAGGCTCGGCACCCGGTCGACCTGATTCACCGGCGCGAGATCCGTCTGAATGCGCGCGAGCCTCACGTGAATCGCGCCGGCTTGCGCGGAGATCTGGCCTAGCGCCGCGGAGATGCCGGAGAGACTGGTGGACGTTAGGCCGGCAGTTTTGCCGTCCAAGCCGGCGGCCGGCAGACCAAGTTTCGCCTGGTCGACGAGCGACGCGTACGAGAGCTCCGTGGGGAGTTTCTGGCCGGCGATGGCGGAGCAAACTCCGCGCAGGTTGCGCGCCGAGCGGAGTGAGGCTGAGGCGATGGTGCCGACCTGCGTTGCGCGGACGGGTCCCACCGCCTCGACCAGTCGTCGCGTGACGCTGCGGACATGCCGGGAGGGGAAAAGGAGAGGGGGTTGGAAGGGAGAAGCGAGAGGGAAAGAGAAAGGTGAGAGGGGAAATGGATTGCGAAGGAGCGGAGAAGGGGAAGGAGAGGGGAAGGGGCAGAGGGCCGGGGAAAGTCGTATATCGCGTGGGCGCACATCGCATACCGTGTGGCGTTCAAGTGACAGTCTTATCACTCAGCATGAATCAAAGTCAAACCGCATACCGCATAGCGTTGAGGCCGTTCTGCTTGGGCGCGGCTTCGAACTCGAAGGACGTGCACGCCGCGCCGAGCTCCGCCGTGTACTTGTGCGCCGATGACGCCGCCACCTCGTACCACCGCCCCTTCAGCCGCGCCACGTTCAGGCTGCTGATTGGCTGCACGGCGGGGCACTTGCTCGGGTTGCGCGCGGGGTACTGCTTGCAGAACGCGAGATTGTCGCCGGCAGCTGCGGCTGTGGCGGCTAAGGCGAGGGTGGTTGCTGCTAGGGCGGTCGCGAGAAACAGTAGGGAAAGTTTTGCCCGAGGCTGAGTTGTTCGAGCAGCCATCGCTAAGTGCACGATGATTTTGGCCAGGGGAAACAGAGTTACTCGAGCCAAAAGAGTGATGTGAGGCCGGGAATAGGAGCAGCCTGAGTTGGATTCGAGAAAGCGTTGACTACTGGGCTTGAGTATTGCGTTCCCAAGTTTCTTGTGGCGAAGTTGGTGTGAAACGAACTGGCTGCGACAAGCATTTGAAGCAGTGATTGCAGCGCGCATTTGATTTTGAATGTGCGAGAAATTTGCGAGCCGCATGTGAGGTTTCACATTTCGGTTGCGCGCGCCCTCCTTGTCGGTGTGGTGCTCTCGGTGTGGGTGGGTGGGCAGGGGCGGGGGCAGGCAGGCACTACGCAAGGGAGCTGACGAGGCGCCTCACGCGTGTGGTGGTGGGGGCACGTACTTGCGCTTGGGCAGCTGGGGCTGACAAAGGTCGTGGCAGCGCAGAAAGCAAGGGTCAAATTTTCCAGAAAGTTCGTGTCTACGGGCCAACCGACGGCTTTCACGACTGGGTGGTGGTGTCGGCGATGAAAAATTCATGCTAAAAAACCACGTTCCAAGCCATGCGACTCATTTTGCTGCTGTGCAAATTGTGATGAGTTCTGGAAGTATCGCAATTCGTCGCACCTCGTTTTGAAGACTGCCGACATACTCTACAAGTGTGGAATCACTCCAGTCTTTAGTGAAGTAAATCCTATCTGAACATCTGTATTCGATCAGAGTATACAAATGCGCTATTACGTAAGCCACAATGTGAGATGATATTTAATTTCTTGTATAGACAGATTGTTTTAGTAATTTACTGAGTATTAGGTCTTTGCTAAATAGGTTTAATGGTAAGAAATGGCTTATTACATTGCAGATGAGAAATCTCACCAGGTCTTTTGAACCAATTGAGAGTTAACATATAATGGATTATGTTTCAAAAGGTACAATCTGTACCTTGCACCACTCGTGGCTTACACTTCAATACAAGGTAGCCGGCTCCAGCGTTGACGCGGCTCCGTCTTTCAACAAGGCTGACGAAATCCACGAACTTCGTAAGCATGCGTAACAGTTAATCGGATTGGTTGAAACTCAGTTCGCAAATGAATTTCTGGTACCTTGTTGGGGTGGCTGGGACATGTGACCCCACGACCCGTGATTGACCTGCCCCCATTGTGTGACTGTATGAAATTCGCGGTTCGCAGTCTTATTGCCCTCCCGACTCGGAATCTCAATACCCTAGCCCTCTTCATGCTCTATCTCGATTCGCCATTGCCGCGTGCTCTAGCACCACCCGTACCTCTCCTTTCCCTTCTGTTCACACCAACCTAGCCCAGTGTTGCCCAACACCCAGGCTTTCCCTCTGGGAAACTAGCAGGCAAACCTTCCCATTTGCTTCGGACTGAGCGACTCGGACACATTGGCCAATCACAGGAGGCCATTAGCGCCCCTCCCCTCCCCTTACGCATACTCATTGCCCCGATGCGTAGCTAACTCAAGACGACTTTGCGACACCAATACGTCAACTTGGCCCGACTGATCGAATGACTAATGCGACAGCCATCGGCCCTCCATCCCACAATACACGTCTACGTCGACGATCGCGTTCTCACCTCGCAGGTCCTTCTGAACGAACTGAGTGAGTTGGAACTGAATCACGTTGGAACAGGTCACATGTACCGAATGCTTGGGCACTCCCTATGCCATCTTGAAGTTATCCAAACTCCTAGTAGACCAATTTATGCGCATTGAGATTGCTCGAAATCAGCGCCTCGCGCAGCAGCGCCATTAGTAGATATCGGCTTCACACGGCCGGCACGAAGACCTAGGACAGGAGAGCGGCCGGCGGTAGCTGCACAGCATCAGTATGGCAACCTGACAAAGCTAGCCTTTGTAGTTTTAACAAGAATCGAGTGCGGTCAGGTGAGGCGATGGATCGTTTTGCCTCCACTTCGCGCATCCCTGGGCCGGGTAGCGGCTCGGAGCGAAGCAGCGGAACGAGTGGGGCCGGAAGTAATTTAACGGCTGGTACGAGTGGAACGAATGGAGCGAATGGTAGCGCAGATGCCAGTAGCGCTAGCGGAAAGCTTAGTCTTAAAATCAGCACTGCTGCCGCTGAGGGTCTTAGCAGCGGAGCTGCGCGGTCGGCAGCAGCTTCCGGTAAAAACGCTCCTCGATTTAAGTACAAGCGCACACCGTCACCACGCGCCTTGCGGGACGGCTCCCCCCGAAGCCGCCGCCCCGCTTCCCCTCGACGCGCCTCCCCGAAGGGCCCTCCGCGCACCCTAGGTGCGGCGGAGAAATGGGCGGCGGCGCTGGCGCAAGAGCGCATGCAACAGGGAGCGGTTCCCCATTCGGTTGATTCTGGGTTTCTTTCGGAGCCCGAGGGTGGGGGAATGCGCGCAGCGTTGCGTGCATGGGCGCATGGGGGAAGCGCTGGCGTTGCAGGCGCAGCCGCAATCCGCGCAATGACGGCGCAGCGTTTTGCGACAGAAGCCGCGCAGCTACGCGGATTGGAGCAGGCGCTGGCGCGAGCGGGCTCCTCTGCGGCGGTCGTCAGCGGGAATGGCGGAAAAACGTCGGCTACGGGTGAACAAAAGGCCACGGGTTCAAGTGTCACGACTGCAGCGAAAGGCAACAATCTGATGACGCAGCTGCTCCATTCAAGCACACTCGCTTCTATCACTGCAACAGGCATGGGAGGGGCAGGTTCGTCGAATCAAGCGAACCAGCTTTCTAAGCCTGCGGTAGCTACAGTCTACCACCTCCGCGCGCACCCCGCGGGGGCCTCTGCGCTACAGATCTCCCCGCTCTTCCTTGCGTACCTCGAAGCTTCTAAGAAGCTTCACGGATACAGCGTGTTCGAGCTCTCGTGTCAGCTATCATCCGTCCACCTCTGGCCGCAACCGGCGGCGCAGTTCAAGGGGGTCGCAATGCGCCTGCTGCACGCAGGGGGAGCTCCGCAACAGCGCTCCGCCGCGCGGCCGGCGGGGGGAAAAGGCGCGGACTGGGAGGCGCTGCAGCGGAGTCCGCTGCTGCAGTTTTACGTTTTCTGCCGCCAGATGCTGCTCGATCTCCTCGCTTCCTCTGCCGCTGCACTCGACGTTTGCCCCCTGGCGCGCGCTGAGGCGGCTGACGTGGCTGGTGGGCCAAATGCGAATACGAGTGCAAAGGCGGCGTTTTCGGGCATCGCGCTGTCGTTCGCGCGCAAGCTGTCGGACCTGCGCTGCCTCCAAGCCGCCATGGGCGTCTGTTCTCGCTGCCGGAAAGTCTCCGCTCCTCGCGGCGATGCTGCGTGCGTTTGCGCATCTGACAGCGGGAATGACGGCGTGTCCCCTCCGCAACTCGCGGATAAGTGGCTGACGCTCTGCCGTGGACGAGAGGAGGCGGAAGGCCCGGCGAGAATAGCGGCGGATGGGGGAGGGGGAAGTAACGGCACAAGCAGGAAAAGCGCGGGACAGGCTGCTATTGGCTCGTGGGAGAGCGAGGGCGCGGAGATGTTGGAGGTGGTGGCTCGAGTTATCACAGCCGTCCGATCTCAGGAGATCATCAGCAAGTTTAAAGAGCGCATGGCGGAGATCGACGGGGCGGAGAGCGCAGGCGGAGGGGAAATGGGTAGTGCCCGATCGGCGGAGGCGCAGGCGGTAAAAGAGGCGGAAGAGCGCGTGGCGGGAGCGCTGGAGCGCGCATGGGTGGGGGGGTGGGAGGAGAGCGAGGGGGGGCAGGGGGAGGGCGGAGGCGGAAGCGGAAACCTGGTGCCCGTGATCGTGCCGTGCCGCGCCCATACTGCTGCTTCCGCCTCTTCCGCTTCTTCCTCCTCCTCCGCGTCGTCCGCCGCTTCGCTGCAACTACAGCTCGTGATGCTGCCCTTCGTGCTGCCCCTATCTAAGCGCGAGCAGCGCCAACCGCAGCAGCAGCTCTCTCACACAAACATCCGCGCTCAACCAGCCAAAAGCGGCCACGTGTTCCCGTCGCAGCCGCGTGACGTGGCGCGCTGGCTCGTTCACATGGCATGCGTCGACGCCTCGTTGCGCCACATGGCAGCTGCTGACGTGGACCGCGTACTCTGGGCGCTGGAGCGGGGCCTCGTCCACGTGACAGGCTCGGTCGCGAACCGCTCAGGCTCGACAACAGCCTCAGCAGCAGGCTCGGCAGGGAGGCTCGGAGAGCGAGAGAGGCTGCTGAGGATGCAGCAGCAGGTAACGGCTCTTGTAACTCTGGTGCTGGAGCCGCAAATTCCGGCGTCCTTGGCGCCTGCTGCTGCGGGTGGTGCTACGGGTGGTGGCGGTCGGAAGGCAATAGAAGTGGCAAGCCTTGAAAGTAGCAATTCTGTGAGCAATGCTTCGTCTGCTCAGGCTGCTGCCGATGCTGTTGCCCCCGTCGCTGCTGCAGACGCCGCTGCCACCGCCGCTGCGGTGGTGCTTGTGCCGGCCGAAAGTGACTGTAATGGCGGTTCAGAAGCAGCCGGGAAGGAGGAGGAAACACACTGTGACGCGCAATTTGGCATGCCGGCGGCGCTGCTGCCGTCCAAGCTCGCTGCCTTCGCTGATATCGGGCTGCCGGCTGCCTCTCTTGCTGCCGGCGCGTTTGGTGATATTGGCCTCCCGGCCGCCTCCGCTGCTGCGAGTGAGGAGGCGGAGAGTGAGGAGTGGCATGACGCGGAGGAAGAGGGGGAGCAGGCGGAAGAAGAGGGGGGAGAGCAGAGGGGGATCATGGTGGGAGAAGCGGAGGGGGAACGGGGGGTGCAGGCGGAAGGGGAAGAGCAGGGGAAGAATGAGGAAGAGGCGACAGTGGAGAGCAAGAGTGGTAATGATGAGGCGCGGTCCAACGCGGTGCAAGGCGATGCTGGCGCTCAGAAATCCCTCGTGTGCGTTCCAGAAGAGGAAGACGTTGCAGAAGAGGAGGAGGAGCGAGGAGAGGGAGGCGAGGCGGCGAGAGAGGAGGAGAGAGAGAAGGTGAGAAAAGAGGGAGTGAAGGCGGAAAAGGTGGAGGAGAGAAAGGATGAGAAGGTGGGAGAGGAGGGGGAGAGGAGGGAGGAAGAGAAGAGGATTGAAGAGGAGGGAGGGGGCGAGCAAGAAGAGGTGCTTCCGGCGCAACTGGCGGCGCTGATGCCGGCGGAAGGGACGTGCGACCGAAGCAGCGGGCAGACAGGCGGAGGCGGAGACGCAGGCGGAGCTGCATCGGTGAGTTGTGCGCAGGCAGGCGGCGGAAAGACTATGGCCGCGCAGATAGAGGGGGAGGTTGCGGAGGAGAAGCGGGGAGGGGGGAAGGTGGCGGAAGATGAAAGCGGAGAGGGGGTAAAGCGCGGAGGGGCGCGCAAGTGGATGGACGTGGGGGACATGGTTGCGCTGTGCGAGAGTATGCTGCAGGGGGAGGGCGGAGTGGGGGAGAATGGGGAGGGGGAGGGAGAGGCGGAGAACGGGAAGAAGTGGCAGGTTTGCGGTGGTGAGGCGGAATCAAAGAGAGGTGGTAAGGCTGATAAAGAGAGCGGCGGAGACAGCGGGAGTGGGAGCGGGGGTTGCAGTGACCAAGGGTCGGAAGGCAGTGTGACTGCAGAGGGGGCGGACTCTCTGCCTGTGCTGCTCGCCTGCGCCTCCCCGCCCATGTCTCCGCGCGCACGGCCCGCCGTCCAATCGTCCTCCGCCACGTCATCACCTGCCTTCCGCGCGCAGCTGCCGTCAGCGGCGCTGGAGTGGCACGGAAAGACCGCCGCATCTTCCGCGTATGCTTCCCCCAAGGCTGCGCCCGCATCACTCTCCGCGCTCGCATCACCCAAAGCCGCGCCTGCTGCTTTCACGTCCCCGGCACTGCGCGCTGCTGCCGCCGCCAGAGCCGCCGCCGCCGCCGCCACTGCAGCCGTCGCCCGCAGCAAGGATGGGCGCGCGGCGGGTGTAGGGGGCGGGGAGGGCAACACTCACATGCCATCCTCATCGTCAGCGGTGCACTCGCCGCTGCTGTCGCGAATGCAGCAGCGCGTGAAAGGGGAGGGAGCCACGCAGGGCTCCTCGGATGCCGCCAGGATGCGCGCCGCGGAACTTCCGCCGCCGCTAGACCTCAGCTGGCCGCATGACGTCACCACTCCTGCTACTGCTACTGCTGGTGCTTCTGCCGGTGCTGGTGCATCAGGGAATGGGGATGCGGGGTTGAGAACGAGTGGCGGATGGCAGCGGCAGGGGGAGTCGACGGCGGCGAAGGCGGCGGTGGTGCGCGCGGAGGCGGCTGCGGCGGCGGTGACGGCGCTGGTGGCGCGGATCGCGCAGGAGCAGGAGCTCATGCGGCGATCCGTGGAGAAAGAGGAGGAGCGGGCGCGGGAGAGGGAGGAGGAGAGGGAGAGGGAGAGGGAGAGGGAGAGGGAGAGGGAGAGAGAGAAGGAGAGGGAAGAAGAGAGGGAAGAGAGGGTGCAGGAGAGGAGGAAGGAGGAGGAGAAGGCAAGAAGGAGTGTGAAATCGAGGGAAGGTGGGAAGGAGACAGGGAGAGCGAAGGGGAGAGAGGGCGCAGGCGGAAGGGTGTTTGGGAAGAAGGCGGGGGCAGGGGGGCATGGGGCGGGGATCGGCGGGACTGCTGCATCGTTTGACTTCTCCCTGGTATTTGGGGGGAGGGACGGCGGGCGGGGGAAGGGGGAGAAGGGGGAGAGGCGGGAAGCGGAGGCGGAAGGGAAGGGGGAGAGGGAGAAGGGGCAAGTGTCTCGGTCTGTGGATTGGGCAGAGATTGGGAGGATTGAGAGGGGAGAGGTGGTTGTGGGGAGTGAAGGGAGTGAGAGCGTGGAGTGGGAGGAGGCTGGGGAGGGGAGCGAGAGCATTGGAGTGTTGGTTTTCGAAGAGGGAGGGTCGGCGGAGGAAGTAGAGGCGAAAGGCAAGGAGCAGGAGCAGGAGGAGAAGGAAGCGAGGGAGAGGGAGGAGAGGGAGAAGGAGGAGAGACTCGCAGCGGTGGCAGCGGCTGCAAGAGCAGCTGCTGAGGCGGCAGCAAAGGCTGCCGTTGCAGGCAGCACTGGTGGCAGTGCAGCAGAGCTAATGGAGGGATGGGCGGAGGTGGAGGAGGAGGAGGCTGATGAGAGTTCCACGTGCCAGTCGTGCACACAGTCGTCATCGCACTCATCGGAGGACAGAGTGACAGTGAGGAGCTATGAGAGCTATGAGCGGGCAGATGCTGCTGACACCAGCAGCAGCAGCGGTGCCAGCAGCAGTGACGGCAGCAGCGGCGGCAGCAGTGGCGGCAGCAGTGGCAGTTACAGCGGCAGTGGTGCGAGCAGCAGCAGTGGTTCTGGGAGTGGAAGCAAGAGTGGGGAAGGGAGTGCTAGTGGGAGCGGAAGTGGGAGTGGGAGCGAGAGTGGGAGTGAGATAGAGCTTGAATCGCCTGGCGGGGCTTGCAAGAACCTGGCTGCCAGCGTGGCAGTAGCAGCAACACCAGGAGTCAACGCTGCCACTGGCAACAGCAGCAGCACTGGCAAGGCCAAGGCGAAAGAGCAGAAGAGTCAGAAGAGCGAGCAGACTGGCACACCCGGCGCCAAGCCTGAAGGGGTGAAGCTCACCAGGTCCGGTAGCGGCAGCAGGTCCGGCAACTGCAGCAGGTCCGGAAGCAAGGCCACCAGCGGTGGCAGCAGGTCCGGCAGCGGTTCGGCAGGCTCAGCACGGGCCGGTGCTGCGAGTGGGAGCAAGAGCAAGAGCAAGAGCAGAGGCACCACTAACAGCACCAGCAGCACCGGCAAAAGCAGCAGTGGGAAGACTACCAACGGCAAGGGAAGCAGCGTCAAGAGCAGCAAGGCAGCCAAGCCGGCGGGGCCAGGGACGAAGGGAGGCAAGGCCAGCGCGCCTCTAGCGCCTGTACTGGACCCTGTCACGCAGAGCCTAGTGGAACCTGTCATTCAGGCGGTGGGGGTTGATGAGGGGGAAGAGGGTGATGTTGCCGCAGCAGCAGCAGCAGCAGCAGCAGCAGGCACAAAGGCGGCAGGAGCAGGGCTAGGAGTGGCAGACGCAGCAGCAGAGCAGTTTGGCATGCCGGTGGCCCTGCTGCCGTGCGTGCACTCGGAATTCACTAGCATTGGCCTGCCTGCCGCCCCTGCTGGCACCGCTGCTGCTGCTCAGCCTTGTGCGATTGCACCGGCTGCTGCCCCTGTGGTGACTTCAGCAGGTGCTGTGAGTGCTGCTCCTTCAGCAGGTGCTGTGAGTGCTGCTCCTTCCACCCCACCGCCTGCTTCCAAGACCACTCCTGACAAGGTCCCTTCTCTTCCTCTTCCTGCCACCCCTCCTGCTTCGGCTCCTGCTGCTGCTGTTACCGCTGCCACTGTTGCTGTTGCTGGTGGTGATGACACCGCTGGCAGCGCAGGCAGCACAGAGAAAGCGTCACAGGACGAAGTGAAGGTGGTGGTGCAAGGGGCAAGCCAACAGCAGCAAGGTAAGGTGGAGAGTGCGGGAGCAGAGAAGGAGGTCCCAAGTGCTGCAGTGGCAGCAGACACAGCAGCCCCAGCAGACACAGCGCAGCAGCCTAGCACAGCAGCAGCCCAGCAGATGCAGGGTCTGAGCATGTTGGATCGACTCAAGGCACAGGCACGCGCCGAGGCAGTGGCAGCAGCAGCAGCGGGGAGGAAGGGCAGGGCTAATAGCAGCAGTAGTGGCAGCGGCAGCAGCAGTGGGAGTGGCAGCAGCAGAAGCGGTAGCGGGAGTGGCAGTGGGAGCAGCAGCAGTGCGAGTGAGAGTGGCAGTGATCCGTCTGCAGATGGCGTATCATTGTCCGCTGCTGGTAAATCCGTCTCCCTCCCTGTGTTGCGCAACCCTCTTGCATTCACTGCCACCACTGCTGCCACTGGAGCAGTGGCAGCAGTGGCCGCAGCAGCAGCGACCGCTCCCAAGGTCCGCAAGGGGGCTCTCAAGAAACCAGGGAGTCCCTCCCGCTTTGCTCTGCGTCACAGTGAGCAGAAACCACAGCAGCTGCAGGGCCAGCAGGGGCAGCAGCAGCAGCAGCAGCAGGAGCAGGAGGCAGAGGGGAAGAGGCAGATCCCACGCGTGTCCTTCGCAGCGGTGGCGCTGCTGCTGGTACCAGGCGTGGGAGTGGAGCAGGTGGCAGTGCGCATGCACACCGACGACCACCGCGCCCCCCTCATCAGCCGCAGCGGCGTGCCTGCCCGCTCCACCTCCCCTGGCAGAGGCTCGCCCTCCCCCAGTAAAACCCACCCTTCCGCTTCCTCCACCTCCACCACCTCCTCCTCCCCTTCACCTGGTAGAGGCTCTGCTTCTGCTGCTTTCTCGGGCTTCTCCCCTTCCCCCGCGTCTGTCAAGAGCGGGATGATTTCGCCCAGGGGGTTGATTTCGGGCAGGGCAGGGGCAGGCATGGTGTCTCCAGGGAGGAAGAATGTTGCGTCTCCGGGCAGGGAGCTTTTGTCTCCAGGCAGGAACAGCAGGGGCGGGAGTCGGGAAGCTGGTGGTGGTGGTTGGAGCGACCATGAGCCAGAGAGCTGCGATGAAGCAGGTACGATGCATGAAGCTGCATGGTAGTGTGCGCATGCCTGCCTACACATCCTCTTGGCTTGCTCTGCTGTATATGCTGATCGCTCTCTTTTTATAGCTGTGTCATAGCTCCGATCCTACTGCCCTCAGAACCACTCTCCCTGCTCACTCTTCTCCTTTTCCCCACCACATCCCCCCATTCCTTTCACCAATGCAGCCCCCAGGGAGCACAGGGCGCCCACCCCGGCACGGCCCCGCCGCTCCATCTCCCAGACCTCCCTCTCTTCAGACGCCCCACTCATGCGCTCCGCCTCTACCCCCGCCCCTGCTGCGGCTGCCTCCTCTGCTGCCGCCTCTGCTGTTCCCACTGCTGCCTCTGCTGCCACCTCACCTGCAGCAGCGTGCACGCCGTGTGTCACCACAGCCTCGTCCATGCGCCATCGCATGAAGGACTATGACCAGTCGCGCATCGACCGCCTCAGAGACGGTGTGCCCCTTGTGCGAGACGGTGTGCCCCTGGCGGCACGTGATTCTCCGCAGGCTGGCCTGCCCCTTGTGCGTGACTCCTCTCTGCCTCTGCCTCTCGTCCGTGACTCTTCCCTCCCGGCTCGCCTCTCGCACCACCAGCCAACCCACCAGCAGCTACAGCAGCAGCAGGAGGGGGCAGGAGGTAACCACCAGATGCCAGCGCCTATTCCTGAGGACGAGGAAGTTCTCCCCCTGCGATCCCGCCGCAGCTCCAAGTCCCCCTCGCACACCTCCTCTCACCTCACAGCACAGGCAGGTGCCACTCCCCGCCACCCCCGCGCCGCTGCTCCCTCTGCCAAGGCCTCCCCGGCCCAGAGCAGCAGCAAGGGATCCCCTGCTCTCCCCTCCGTTTCATCTGCCAGACTCTCCTACTCGACCCCGCCGTCACCCGCACGTTTCGGCCTCGTCCCTCCGTCACCGACCCACTCCCTCGTCTCCTCCACGTTCGCTCGAATCCCCGCCTCTCCTGGCCGGGATCTGTTTGGGGGATCAGCTTTCAGCAAGGAGCGAAAGGTGGATCATGGCGCAGTAGAGGGCGTGGGAAAGCTGTCAAAGGTGCCTGAGGATCCGGGAGAGAAGGCAGGAGGGGAGAAGGTGAAGGACTTGAAGCACAAGTGGAGGTTTCCCAGCATGCTGCTCCGAGTGGGCGGCGGGAAATCGTGATTCGGAGTTGCTTGAGAAGTGGCTCAGATTTCTACGTGAGCTCTCTCCAGCCCTTGCTGTCTTGCAGTCCGTTTTTTTTTCCTTTTTCTTTGTACTTTTTTTCAATTGGCTCGTCCCTGGCTCCGTTCTGATGCTACGGATGGTTGTGATATCTCAGAGGGCGTCAAACCTGGATGCAAGACTTGATGGAAGATTGGCGCAGTAGTGAACTCGTCGGTGGCTCGTCTGTAGCTAGGTATCTGGTAATAACTTTTTAAGTCTACATTATTGACTTTTGTGGATGCGTAGACTTGTTTTGCTAACTTTTGGCTTGGTAGGGTATAGGGCATAAGATCTGCTAAACGTTTGCTTAGATGATCTTGTTATATTTTGTAGAGCTAGCTGCTTGATTGGAGGTCCAAAGTGGTAAGTCCCGAATTTCATCTCGTTTTCTAGTTCTCTCTGTTTGCATTGGGATGGTGACTAGTGTTGTAACTTATTGTGGTTACATGTGTTCTGGCTAAGCTGAGTAGCAGTGCAAGCTCTTCAACTCTGCACTTAGCATACCACACTGGTGCGGTGGTGAACAAGCAAACATCGAAAGCCAAGCAAGTGACACAAACTGGACATACTGTATTGGGAGAATGCACACTCAGAGTACAGTGATTCTTGATGTAACCGCCCCCCCCCACAAAAAAGTCCTTCCTACGCTGCACCTTCTACCCACAGCTGCATCACTTTCCGCACGTCAGCAGCTGCAAAGTCTGAAACCCGGGTGCTGTTGCTCCCTCCCAGGAACGCAAACACTGCTGCTGCAGGGTCCACACCCCCACGCATCATCTTCTGCTGAGCCGAGCCAGTGGCCAATGGCCCTGACACTTCGCGCTCGCCTGCGGCCAGGAACGCTGCAAGGCGAACAGGAGGAACTTGGTGGATTGAAGGCACAAGGGGTTTCTGAGGGCGGGACATTCCGTGCTTGGGTGCGGTTGGGAATGCTGCAAGCTGAGGTGGAGGAGCATTGCGCATTGAAGGCACACGTGAATTTCGAGAGCCGAACGTTCCCATGCCAGGAGGATCCTGCTGCTGCTGCCAATGCTGCTGTTGCTGCTGCTGCTGCTGCTGCTGCTGCTGCTGGCATTGCTGCTGCACCAGTCCTGCCTCCTCCACTCCCTCAGTCGCTTCAGCATGCTGAGGAGGGGAGTGCCACTGGCTGCGATTCATGTCACTCCCCGTGCAGCTCGTGTGCTGGGACAGGTAACCCGGGCTGCTTGTGTTGAAATCTGTGCCACAAGCAGCCGAAAATCCGCTGCTCCAGGCTTGGTCACAGGCTTGAGCATCAGCCTGGGCAGTGGCGCGGGGGGCAGGCAGCAGCGCATCGTTTGCAGAGGCTTGGCAATTCTGCCCATTCACAAGTGCATCAAATGTGGTGCCTGTTAGTGGCTGTGAGGCACGCCCACTTGGTGACTTGCGCGTCGAATCAAATGGCATCCTCGGCAGTGGCGCATTCATGGCATAGGACGGCCGGTTCTGCCCTCTCACGAGCGTGTGAAGAGCGGTGGCTGTTAAAGGTGGCACTGGCACATCTTGGTGGGGCTGAGAGCCAGGAGCGTCAGATACAGCAGCACCCAGTGCAGCAGCGTGCGGCAGCACACACCCCAGCAGTGCTCCCAGTGTTGCCCCTGACGGGCCGTGCACTGACCCTTCCTCCCCTTGACAACGAAAATCGGGGAAGGAGTTCTTCCCATTGCGCCCCACGCCGGGTGCGGTCTGCTCCTCCTCAATACCTCTCCCGCCAAGATATTCCCGTAGGAGCCCCGCTTGGCCCGCGTGGTTGGTAGCACTGCAGCGCAGTGACGACAGCTCTTGGAGGCCTTGCTTCGTAGGCGATGTTGCTCCCAGCAGAGAGTCAATCTCGTCCGTCGGATATTCCGAGTCCTGATCGGTGAATCGACGGCTGTGATCTTCTTCCAGCGTCTGACACCCGAGAGCCACAAGCAGCCGTTCCAGAGACACTGTAGACCTCGCTGGGTCAACAGCAGCAGCACTGAGGTCAGTGGAGCAGGCACTAACGGGGATAACCTCATCCAGCCACGGAGGGGATGACCGGAGGAGGGTCGGCAGGGGAGAGAGTGGGGGGAGGTCCCACACACGCAGGGAAGTGGACTCAATCAGCCGCTCCTGCTGACAGGGAGAGTGCAAGAGGGCTTCTGCAGCCCAATCTTCAAATTCAACAGCAGCATCAGCAGCAGCAGCGTCGGCGGCGGAAGCAGCATGAGCAGGACTGACTTCCACGCTCCCATTCTGCAACGCCCGCGCCACGATGCTCAGAGCCCCACCAGAATCAACAGCTGGGGCATTCACAGCTGCACCAAAATCGCTCTCACTCGCCAAGGCGTTCAGACCGCCACTGAATTCAGCAGGTCGATCGGCGTTAAACGGAGTATCGCCATCCCCAGCGTGTGAATCCGCGAGGTTGAAATGCTCGTCAGTAGCATGGCCGGTGGGAAGGTCTGCAGGGCTGAAAGCAACCCTCTTGTTAGGGTGATTGGGGTGATCGCTAGAGCGGTAGGCAGGACGCTTGTTGAAGCACTTGGTGGGGTGGTTACGGGGGAAGATGTGGCGCGTGGGGGGACGGCGGATGGGGAGCAAAGGTTGGCGGGGAGGCAAGGGGTGGTTGTGGAGCGTGCAGCGGTAGGTGACTTGGAAGGCGTCGGGGGAGGGAGGCTCGTTGCGGTTGCTGCAGGTGATGTCAACGGTCTTCTTGGCCGGGCATCGTGGGTTGGATTTGACGCGAGGGCACCTGTAGTAGCATCTGTGATGGGGAAGGGAGAGTGAGGGAGGACGGAGACAGGGGGAGCGGAACACGGGTGAGACGTGAAGCACGAGCGCAGCCCAGCATGTGTGCGGGAAGAGGTTTCCGCCCTCACATGAACGTACATCTGATTCACTGGCAATGATGGACAGACGAAGCTGACCCACGGAGTCAACAGGAGTTCAAGCAAGTCAACAGAGGTCAACGCGAGTCAATGGAAGTCAACAAGGCTGGCCTGGTGGCGGTGGAGCCCTTGACTTGCTTCTGGCCGTATTTGAGCCAGCTGTGCCCATCCGAACCCACCACCTGTGCCACCATCGCCTCCAACCCACGCCGCCGCACCAACTCCTGCTCGCACGCCTCTCGGCTGGCCGACTGATTCTCGGAGAGAGATCCATTCTCAGAAAGTTGGCGGCTAGGCGCCGAATGCTCAGAGAACTGACGGCTATACGTCTCCTGTTGAGGGCTCGCTAAGAGCTGACTCATGATGTTTAACTCGGAGGGGATTGCCATAACGGCGGCCGCTGTTTGTTGTCCCAGATATTGCCTGTTAGGTTGTAGTAGGTCAGGCAGTGGTAGTAGTGCTCCTAGCAGCACTAGTTTGGATTAGATAGAATTCCAGACTGGGAAATAAGGTGCAAAGATTGTCTGATGACCACGTGACCGCCCAGAAATATTAGGACCCCTGTTACTCAGGGTAGCATCACTAGTAGCAATCGTACTGCTACACTCTGGTAGGAGTGTAGATGCACTGCACTGTAGGAGTGATTGAGAGAGGGAACGTTCACTTCTCTGTCCGGCAGGAGAAGGAGCATCAGAGCAGGCCGATGGCCGGACAGGCGCCGCCGCCTGGCATTGCAAGAGCGCTTGCGTGCGGTCATTGTTGATAAGGAAGCCCTTTCCTGATTGGGGAGGCCCAGCATGGGTTTGTCTGCAACGCAATTCGCATTGGCTGCCTGCACCGCGAAGAAGAATCCCGCTGTTTATCCGTCAGGAGTGCTCGTTCCCCGTCGCGTGCGCGTGCTGGATAATCCCGAGAAGCGGCAAGCGGAGTGGCCATGGACGAGTGGCGTGGGCCAGCCGGACATGTAAGTCACGACTTGCAAGAGTTGTCGGATGCCATTCGACGACAGCGTGTTTCACTAGGTATGTTGCGTAGTCTTGCCGTCGTGACGTGACTCCCTCAGGAAAGATGAGCAGCCCCCCCCTCCTCAAAGGATAGTGGGGGAGAGGAGGAAGGGGGAATGGAGACGGAAGGGAGGACGGGGAATCAACTTGAGGAACTCGACTCACCCATAGAAGAATACAAACCTCTTTGGTAGCTTTAAAAAAAAAAGTTTAGATACACTTCTGTACTTCGCATAGACTTTGGGTCACAAGTCTGTCTCTGTCATTGATTGTAGCAAACAAGAGGACGCACAGTAGAGCTTTCCAATAAGTTTTTGTCGCACGTGCTTACTGTTCGAGCGCGCGGCGCGCTGCTAATACAGTAAACACGGCTACTACCAATGTCCGTGCGTTGTCTGTGGTACGTACCTCCGTCGTCCTCCTACTGGTGACTGGGATGGTGATAAGCAGTCTGATAGGCAGCTTTGATCAAGCTGCGATTAACACAAACGACGCTGATGTCGCATACTACTCACACACTTGCGAAGTCGTGGCAAGAATGAGTAGGACGGCGGAGAAACGATTGTCGTCCGCACAATCTTGCGGAACTATGAGGACGTGGGCCCAATCGAGTTTGATCGCCTCGATCAGAAGCGATCAACAACTTCGAGGAAGCCTGGAAGCCAATTTCATGCAATCGGGGGCAATCAGCTGATCACGATCAGCTGATCGCCCCAACTCAATCACGCCCGATTATAACCCCGATCAAACTCGATTTTGCTCAATCACCCTCGATCAGTTGATTGCATGTGATCGAGGGCCATAACGACGGTTGCGAAATGTTACACTGTTGAACTTAGTCTCGTGAACTCCTCGCTCATGCATTGCACTTCGCGAGAACTCTCCAGGGGTTGACGATATTACAGGGAAACAAATGCGTTCGCCAGGTGACATTCAGTCGCCAATCTCGCGTGAGATGGATGAGAATTTCCACGTAATGTTCCTGCGTTTGCCGAGCAGCAGCTCTAAAACTTCGACGAAAAACATTGCCGATCGGGCGTCTCGAGCAAAGTGATCACAAGCAATCCGATCCGATCAGATCAGAGCCGATCAGACCCGATTGGGCCCACGTCCTGATACACGTAGTGAGCAGCCGACACCTGTGGGTACTAGCAAAAGCTGGAGGTACAACAACGAAATCTGCCAGAGTCAAGGTATGCACTGTACAGAAGGTTTTGATTTGGGTTGGGATCGAAGTTTCATTCGTGTGATTGGCCAAAAACATGTCTGCCTCATAGCCTAATTGGGCAACCGAAGTGAACTAACCGAACCACCGACCGACGTGATTCCCAAAGGAGTATGGCTGCAACATATCTCCATACTCGTTATGGTACATGCACCTCGAAATGGAAAAGAACAAGAAACAGGTTGCAGAACCAAGTTGATATGGAATGGCCACACTTCTTCTGCTATGAGTAGGAATTCTTATGGAGTCCACAAACACCTCTCCAACATTGGAATGACCCAATGAGAATGTAATGGATTGACAGGCTATGCCAAGATGGTATGCTAGAAGATCTTTTCTATATACTAATATGGCATTTTCTAACACAAACACAACCGACAATCCGTTTTAAAGGTTGTGCCTTCCTAGTTTATAGACTCAATTGAGAATACGTTAATTTTTGGCATGCATAAATTCGTTCATGCCACCTGCATTAAGAGCAGCATGATAGTGATTCATGTGATGTGCTAACTTTTTTCTGTTACCTGAAGCTGTTAAGCATAGCTACCGCTTTTCTTGAGTCAAGTGTAGTACCACCTAACACTTGAAACGCAAATCGAGTTTCCCCTTCGCCTCAGGTTGTCCTCGAGTTCTTCACCTCAGCCCTTCTTGCCTGGCGTCGCTTTCGGGAATGTCTAGGTCTTCCCAGCGTCGATGTCCCTGAATCATGGCCGAGCGATTTGGCTTGGTCATGGAGTAGAGTCAGGTCATCCTTCGAGATGCCGGGATGCAACGCGACGAGCCCCGAGCAGCGTATTGTCTTGAATGACGATTGAGCAACGAAAAGGCCAAGTCCGCGTGCCTCAGGCGAAAAGGTGAAAGAGAACCAGGTGATTCTCAATCAGGCGAGTTTAAGACGTCGAGCAGACTGCTCGTCGCTCCTGTAGACTACATCCCAGGAGACTAATGGAAGACAAGTGTCCTTTTTGCGGCAGCCGGGAAGGTGCGCGGAACCTCCCCGCTCCGCACGGCCCGGCGCAGAGTCTGTCGCACCAGCTGTCGCAGAACCCGTCGCAGGGCCAAGCTAGCCATAGTACTCCCCATCACCCGCATCACGCGCCGCATCATGCGGCGCATCACGCGGCGCAGCAGCCGCCGGCACAGGCGCCGTATGAGACGGTCCTAGTGGCGTGCGCTAGCTGCGCTCGAATTGTCGCGGAGCGGCGGATTATTCCTCTGCTGTTCGTTCCGCGCACCGTCGAAGAAGCTTCCTTCTGCCTACCCGCCAGGGACGTGCTGTTGCACGCCAAGCTTCGTCCGGACGAGGTGAGAGCAGCAGCGGATAAAATAGAAGAGCTCAAAGCCTTAAAGGATGCAAAAATTAAAGCCAGAGATAATGAGGAGGTGAAGGCAGAAGTAGCAGCAGCAGCAGATGACAGTCGAGGAACTGCTATTTCAGGGAAGCCAGAAGTGAAGGTGGAGACTGAGGAGGGTTTGGTGGAGAAGGGGAGGAGGGAGGTGGGGAAGAAAGAAGAAAGACTGGGAGGGGATGGGAAGGAGAAGGTGGCAGGAGAGCTGGTGGGGAAGGAAGAGGAGAGTAAGTCCCTGGTAGGGTTTGATCTGAACTTTGATCTGAACATGGATGCGATGGACGGTGGAGATGAAGCGGCGGGAGCGAGGATGGACGGTGGAGGAGATGAAGCAATGGATGAAGGTCGAGTTTCGGAAGGACAAGAGGGGAAAGAGAAAGAAGAGGAGGAAGAACTTGAAGAGGAAGAAGAGGAGGAAGAAGAGGAAGAGGAATACGAAGAGGAGGAGGACGAAGAAGAAGAGGAGGAAGAAGCAGAGGACGGGGAGGAGGAGGACATGGAGGAAGGAGAAGCATTAGAGGAGCAAACGAGCCCCAACTCCCTCACGGACGACGACCCATCGCCCCGCTTCCTGGACCCCTCGGACCAGTTCCTGGACGTCTTCTCATCGCTCTCCCTCGAGTCCGCCCCGCCACTCTTCTGTGCCGCCTCGCTGCCCTTCTCGGGCCAGCTAGCAGAGATGGAGCGGCTGATTGGCCCCGTGCTGTACACCGGGTGCTCTGGGGGCGCAGGGGGGAGTGCCGTGGGGACGACTGATTTCCTGCGCGCCTACTTCCAGGTGAGACCCTCCAGGTAAGGTTATTCTTCAGAATTCAGGCATCAGCAGCATCATCTTCCTCCCAGTAATTTCCATTCCCCGTCTCGTCCCCACCCTTCTTCCCCCCACCCCCTTGTGACCTTAGAGGTGAGCGGCTCGTTGGACAAGAAGAGAATCACAGACAGAATCGACTCACTACTCCCTTTCCCACTCCTCTCCCCACCTCCCCCCTCAGATCCTGGAGGTGAGTGGCCTGCTGGACATAGACCAGAGCATCACGGACCACGCGGTTACCCTGTTCCGAGACTATGTGGTGTCGGCCGGCGGGGCGCGGAACCGCAACATCGAAGCCCTAGCCACTGCAGCCGTGGTGCAGGCCATGCGCGAGGCTCAGGAGGCCCGCACCCTCCAGGAAGTCTCCCTGGTGGCAGGGATTGCGGTGAAGGAGTTGGGGAGGAGTTTGAAGGGGTTGATGGAGGTGCTGCGGCTGCAGCAGCCTGTCAACTCCAACTCTGTGTCCTTCCACATGCCCCGCTTTGGATCCATCCTGCAGCTCCGCAAGTCCACCCAGGTGGGTTGGGCTCTCTGTCACTCACTCACTCACTCACTCGCTCGCTCAGTTAATTACTCACTCACTCACTCTTAATTACTCACTCACTCACTCACTCAGTCACACTCGCTCTCACTTATGCACTCGGTGGTCAACTATTAAGCCAGTGGGCCGATCTGCCTGTTAGTGAGCTTCTTGTTTTGCACGAAGCAATGAAGGAGTTAGAGAGGAGTTTGAAGGGGTTGATGGATCATGGAGCCTCCGAACTCCAACTCTGTCTCCTTCCACATGCTTCGATCTCCCTCCTGTCTCCTCTTTCTTCCCTAATTCTCTCCCGCCTCCCCCTCCCACCCCCCCTCCCACCAGGACCTAGCAACGCACGTGGGAGAGGTGGTGATATCCAAGTCATTCTGCACGCGCCGCAACCCCATCAGCATTAGCGCTGCCGCCATCTACCTCGCGTGCCAGCTGGAGGACAAGAGGCGCACACAGACCGAGATCTGCAAGGCTACCGGCCTCACAGAGGTGAGTACAGTGCAGTGCAGTGCGGTAATATGTGGTAGAAATTGGGGTGCAGTGCGGTTGAAAGAGGTTCAGATATGGGTTTGGTATCAGCACTGCGGCCATCTACCTCGCCTGCCAGCTGGAGGACAAGAGGCGCACACTGACCGAAATCTGCAAGGCCACCGGCTTCACAGAGGTACGTGCAGCGCGGTGCAGTACGGTGGAATCAGAGTCCTGCATGGTGTGTATGGGTGGAGTGCGGTTCAGAGAGGTGGCCTGCCTGTTGGTGCATGTGTGTGATTATACATGGGTCTATGTGTGCCCATATGTATGGGCCTGTGTACACATGTATGCGCGTGTGTCTGTGTGTGCAGGTGACGCTAAGGAAGGTGTACAAGGAGCTGCTGGAGAACATACACGACCTGCTTCCCCCAAGATGTGTGTCTGTGTGCTTACGTTGTGTCTGCTCTGCTCGTGTGTGTTTGCTATCATGTGACCCCAGGTGACGCTAAGGAAGGTGTACAAGGAGTTGCTGGAGAACATTGACGACCTGCTCCCTGGGGGCTACGAGCAGTCAGTGTGTGTGTTTGTGTCTGAGACCGTGTGTGCTTATCCCTTTGTCCCCACCAGGTGACGCTAAGGAAGGTGTACAAGGAGCTGCTGGAGAACATTGACGATCTGCTGCCTCCGGGATACGAGCCCACCATCCCTGCGTGCAGGGTCGCTAGCATGCCCCTCTCTGCCCATGGCGCAGGGGGAGGGGGAGGGGCAGGAGGTGGGGGGAAGGGGGGAGGCGCGGGAGGGGGAGGGGGAGGGGGAGGAGGAGGTGGAGGCAAGGGAGCGGGAGGAGGGGAAGGAGGAGGGGGTAGTGTTGGCGGGAGGGATGGGAAAGGGGGAGGAGGAGCAGCAGTGGCAAACACAGCAGCAACAGCAGGGACGGTGGCGGCGGCGGCAGCTAGGGCCGCATTGGTTGCAGCGGGATCAGGTGGGTCTGATGCAGCAGCAGCAGCAGCAGCAGCAGCAGCAGCAGCAGCAGCAGCAGGAGGAGGAGGAGCAGGAGGAGGAGCAGGAGGAGGAGCAGGAGGAGGAGCAGGAGGAGGAGGAGAAGGGGGAGGGGCAGCAGGGAGGGCAGGAGCACAGACACCACTGGGGCACAGGGTCCCTTTCCCCTCCCCCTTTGCCCATCCCGCTGCTCCTGCTGCAACTGCCACCGCTACACCTTTTCCTGGTGCTGCTGCTGCTGCTGCTGCTGCTGCTGCTGCTGCTGCTGCTTCCGGGTCTCGTTCAGCCACCCCTGCGGCGTCTGTGGGGACTGCTTCTGGTCTCGGCAGGACGGACAGCCAGAGCTCCTTCCCCTCGTGCGCCAAATCGCCCGACAAAGGCTCTGCGTTCCCCTCTTTTGGCGCTCCACAGTTGATTCCCGAGGGCAGGGCGGAGGCCTGGCAGCAGCAGCAGCTGGGTATGCGACAGCAGCGGTCGCAGCAGCACTCACAACATTATCAGCAGACGCAGCACTCGTTTCAGCAACAGCAGCAGCAGCAGCAGCACCAGCAGCACCAGCAGCAACAACAATTTCAGCCACAGCAACAGCAACAGCTACAGCAACAGCAACAGCAACAGCAGCAGCATCAGTTTCAGCCACAGCAGCAACATCGTTTTCAGCAGCAACAGCAGCAACAACAATTTCAGCAGCAGCAGCAGCAGCAGCAGCAGGGCAAACAGAGCACACCACTCTCTCTCCCCACCTTCCCTTCTCCTCCCATACGCCCCCCACTCTCCTCCACCTCCCCTCGTCCTCCCCTCTCCCTCCCCTTCCCCCCTTCCTCAACTTCCCCTCGTCCGCCCCTCTTTCTCCCGTTCCCATCCTCCCTCGCGTCCTCCCCACACCCTCCTCCCGCTCTCCCTCCCTCATCCTTCCTCTCCTCTCCCTCTTCCCGCTCCGCTCCCCCCCTTCCCCCAGGCTCCTCCCCTTTCAAGCGCCCTCCCCTGGTTCTACCCGTATCAACTCCCCCTCTCTCTTCCTCCACCCCGAACCTATCTGCACCGTTCTCCACCGCATCCTCTTCTTCCTCTCCATCTCCCATGGCCCTGCACATGCCTTCCCTAGCCTCCATGGCAGCTTCGGCACCAGCCACAGCTGCTGGTTTGGGGGCAGGGTTGGTGGGGATGGGAGTGGGAGGTGGTACTGGTGGTGGTGGTGCTCTTGCCAGTGCTGGTGCCGGTTCTGCTGCTGCTGCTAATGCTGCAGGCAACAGTTCAGCCCCTCCTGAGACCTTCCCTACCCAGAAGCCAAATGCAACGCCTCTCCTCTCTTTCACTCTCCCCCCCAACTTTCACCACCAGTTCTCTGCCACCCGCCCTCCATCCAATCACCCCGCTGTGGGCCCCGGTCTGAGATTCCCTGCCCCTGCTCTCGCTGTGCCCCTGCCTCCCTCCTCCGCTCCCAATCCTTCTCTTCTCCACGCCTCTCCTCCTGCCACTGCCCCTTCTGCTGCTGGTGCTGCAACCCTAGGTGGTGGTGGTGGTGGTGGTGGTGGTGGTGCTACTGCTGCTACAGCCGCTGCCGCTGGTTCAGGGGGGAAGGGAGGGTTCTCGCTACTACAGCTGCCGAGGGAACTGGCAGAACCCTTCCCTCGCTCCTCCTCTGATTCTAGCCTCCGACCTGCTGCCTCCGCTGCTGCTGCTGCCACTGCTGCTGCTGTTGGTCGCACAGGAGGGTTTGGAGGCATGGGAGGGATGGGAGGAGGAGCAGGAGGAATGGGAGGAAGAGCAGGAGGTGGCACAGGAACAGCAGCAAGTGGGCACGACAGTGGAAGTAGCAGTGGTGGGTTTGGTGGTGGGGGGAGTAGTGGAGCGGTTGTTGGTGGAGGCTCAAACCAGGAGGTAGGGACGCAGGCAGCGAGAGGACGAGCAGGGGCCGGGGGCAGAAGGGGAGGAAAGGGTGGGAGAGTGGGTGAGAGGGTGAGCGGGAGGGGAGGGGCAGGAGCAGTGGCAGCGTCAGCAGCAGCACTGTCAACAGCAGCTGCAGTGGCAGCACAATCAAGCAGCCATATTCAGCATGGATCGTTAGTAGCACCACCGTGCTTAGGAGGTGGGAGCAAGGGCGGGTCTGCTGGGGCTGAGGAGATGAGTAGCCCATTCCGCTTTGGGGCAACATTCCAAGTTTCCCAAACAGGCCAGCAGTCAGTCTCAAGTCAGAATCATCATCATCAGCAGCAGCAGCAGCAGCAGCAGCAGAGCCAGAAGGGCACCCACATGTCTCCTATGTTTCCTGTTAGCGGTGGTGGTACTGCTAATGGTGCTGGTTTTGCTGGTAGCGTTATTGGTGCTGCGTTTGCTGGTAATGCTGCTTCGGCAGCTACTGGTGGTACCCATTCTGCTGCACAAAGCACAGCTGCTGCTGCTGCTGCTGCTGCCACAGCTGATGGTGGTGCAGCTCCTCCTACAGCTACCACCTCGTCTCTTCCTGCCTGGATGACCCATGTGCATCGCCAACAGCAGCACATGCCCCACCAACAGCAGCAGCCACAGCTGCAGCAACTGCACCAGCAGCAGCCGCAGCAACCGCTGCATCGTCAACAACAGCAGCACCAGCCAAACCAGCAGCAGCAGCATCAGCAGCAGCAGCTCCAGCAACAGCAACAGCAACGTCTTCAGCAGCAACAGCAGCACCCACAACAGCCGCACCAGCAGCAGCAGCAACAGCAGCATCACCTTAATGCTCAGTTGTCACAACACCCCTCCATCCATCCTCCTCCGTTCTTTGCCCCGTTTCCCTTCGCTCCCCCTAATCACGGACCGACACCACAGTTACCCCCAGGGTTACGACCCGAGCACATGGCAAATGCTGGTACATCTCAAGGGATCCCGCCATTTCGTAGAGAGGCCAAGCCTGGCCTGTTCATGCAGTCTTTACAGCAGTCACCAAACCCCATGCAGAACAGAAGTAACAAACACTGAACAAACGTTATCTCCCTCCATGCATTTGCTGTTGTTGGTACTCCCTCTGTTAGCTCTTGGGTACCGTATGTATGCTGCTTTTTTCTACATTGCTGAATGCACTGCCAAGCTGACTTGGCTCCTATGCTCAGAAATCTCTTAACCCTAAACATGTAACTACTGAATTTGACAAAATATTCCTACTGTACCAACCATTGCATTTATTGTCCACAACATTCATCAATTCACAAGGATCAGTATCGCTGCGAACAACATTGCATGTCCAGCGGGAATGGCACGAGCTTTTACTCTGCTCATGTCTCAGCCGTGAAGTAAACTGTCCGCCATGGCCGCAATTGCCGGGTGCGCTGTCCCTTGCGTCACCGGCCTGAGCCTAACCCCCACCTCCCAGGCCTTTCCCAAATCCTCCGTGCAGCAGCTGCGAAATGTCACGGCGAACGCGTTACCAGCCGTTGCGAAGCTGACAGTCAACGAGGCACGAGCTCGCGTGCTCTTCTCGAGGTTAGGATTGCGACTACATGGCGATACCTCGCTCCTTACACATTTGTTATTTCTTGCATCATGCGCATTTCAACAACTCAAAACGGCAAGTTCTCCCAGGCAAACCATTTAGCTCGCGCAACCTGCGCCTTTCAGGCGTCCTTCCCGGTCCCTGCGTGTATCCCCGTCACTGTCAGGAGTGCCGACAGCATCGCCACGTGGCAGCAGACGAGCTACCAGAGCCATGGCAGGCACCTCGCCTGGAAACAACCAATCGGAAGATCGCGACGAATCTTCTGCTTCCGACCTTAGCCGCGTCTGTGTGGTAGGAAATTTGGAGTTACCTTCAGAGCACTTTGGATAGTTGTCACGACGGATGGTCATGGATGATTTTATCTATCATCTCGCATCATCATATGAATCGCATTATGTAGTGGGTTATCATGGATCATCATAAGCTTTCATGATAGCATGACTTGCCACCAACCATCAATGGACAAGCACGGCTACCATGGACTAGCACTGACCATCATGGATCAATGTGGACCATCATTCACAAGTGCAGACAGCATTGATCGTCATGAATTGTTTGGTCTATTATCGTAGCACCATACATGACATTTTTACACAACCTTTCCATGATGGTGCGTGCATGGCAGGTGGGCTGTGGAGGGCTGTGCATCGACTATCTCGCCACCGTCACCGCATTCCCCCACCCAGACGACAAGATCCGAAGCACCTCTTTCGAGGTACGTTGAGGCTCCTCTTCTTCCCATCCTTGTTTTCTTGCACGACCCTCGTGGCCGTTGCAGCTCTCATGCAACTTGGTTTCTCAAGGTGGTGTGTGCACCGTTGCTCTGCTCGTGTGTGTGCATTGCAGGTGCAAGGCGGAGGCAATGTGGGCAACTCACTCACGGCCATCTCTCGCCTTGGGCTCTCCACACGCATTTTCACCAAGGCACGTTGGATTAATCATCGCATCAGCACACAAGTTTCACCGCCCAGCCTTCCTGTCTTCCCTGGTCCAGCCACTTCCCCTCCCCCTACCACCGCTCCCTGTCCTGGGGGTTTCCCGTTTACCTCAACTCCTTGTCCCCCCCCCTCCCATCCCCCCACACACCGCATCCGAACCCGTCTGGCCTGTGTGTGAGCGACAGCTGGCGGACGACCTGGTGGGCAAGGCAATGATTGCAGAATTGCAGGCGGATGGCGTGGACACGTCACACATCATTGTGAGTCCATGCCACGTCAGTAGGTGTGAACTCCACATCGTTGTCAGTGCCACGTCAGTGGGAGCAAGTTCCAGGTCATCGTTACTCCATTCCATGCCACACCAGTGGAAGGGAGTTTTACACATCGTTGCAAGAGACTGCTGTTCACATCACACTACCTGAAAGCCCATGCATTATTATGTACTGGTATCTTCATGTGTATTCCTGTCTTGCTGGCGTGTGTTGGGCAGGTTGGCAAGGGGGGCATGTCGCCATCCACGTACATCATTGTGGACCAACAGACGTCAGTGCCTGCCTGCACTCTTCCTTGCTTCCATCATCTCTCCCTTTCTACACCTTGCTTTCACCCTCTCTACCTTCATCTCAATCTCTCGCTGCTTGTCTCCTGATTTGTTTATCTCATATTCTATCGTGTCATGGCTTCCCATGCCCTGCGCACCTTGTTCTCCTCCCTTCCCCCCACCAGCAACACGCGCACGTGCATCCACACGCCCGGCTCCCCGCCTCTGCTCCCCTCGGAGCTGTCAGCTGCTGCCTTAACGTCTCTGCTCTCAGGGGCCTCTCTCGCCTACTTTGATGGCCGCCTCGCCGACACCACCATCCGCATATGCCAGCAGGTGCATTCACAGTGGATCTATGCACTTGCTGTGGAATTCTGCATTCACCTTGGAATTGCACAATCACATCAGTGCAACCTTCATCTGCAGCTCCTTCTTTATTGCTCACACTTCACCATGACCCCCCACCCACCTGTGGCCCTGAGTCTGCGAGTGTTGGTGGTTACTGAAAGGCTCCAAAGAGGGTTCAGACTTGTAGGCACTTCAGATATACACTTCTCCTCTTCCCCCCTCCCCCCTTCTCCCTGTCACCAGGCGGTGGCCCTGGGTCTGCCGGTGCTGGTGACGCTAAGAAGCCCCGAGAGGGGACAATCCTCAGAGATCCACCCCCCCGCCTCCACTCCCCCTCGTACCTCCTGGTTGTCTTTCTCGTTCTCTCTCCCCGTCGCCAGGCGGTGGCCCTGGGTCTGCCGGTGCTGGTGGACGCTGAGAAGCCCCGAGAGGGGTCGATACTTCATGCGCTGCAGACATACACTCTCCCCTAATCCCCCTTCCCCGCCCCTTCATCACCAGGCGGTGGCCCTGGGTCTGCCGGTGCTGGTGGACGCTGAGAAGCCCCGAGAGGGGCTGGACGACCTGCTGGCCCATGCCACATATGTCGTCGTTTCCGAGAAGTTTCCCCAGGTCAGTATGGTTGGTGAGCAGTGAGTCACTGTTCAACACATCTTAGCTCTCTTCCCTTCACAGCATTCTGCTGCTGCAGCAGTGCAGCGAGCCCCAGGGATGCATGCAGCGAGCCCCAGGGATGCATGCAGCGAGCCCCAGGGATGCATGCAGCGAGCCCCAGGGATGCATGCAGCGAGCCCCAGGGATGCATGCAGCGAGCCCCAGGGATGCATGCAGCCACTGCTGAATGCACCACCTTCTGCAGGCACCACATGGGCATAGCAGTATGCTTCCACAGATCTCTTGCTGTATGTGGAATGGCATGGCATGGCATGCGTGCAGGCATGGACGGGGGAGGAGACACTGGGAGCAGCGCTGCTGGCCATGGCAGTGCGCCTGCCAAGGGCACGCTTCATTATAGTCACACTGGGGGCAGACGGATGTGCCATGCTGGACCGACGGGTGGCTGCAGGTGAGGACTTGCTGCAGTAAGTGCTGTGTGCTGTGCGGTGCAGAGCGGGATTCAGTGGTGGAGAGTGTTTCAGTTCTGATTCGTATGGGTATAAGTGGGCAGCGACTCTTTGCAACGGAACGTTCTAATGGCTTCTCCCAGAGCCCTGTGCTCTGCACGATGTTGCCCCCCCTCCTCATGTTTGTCTTCAGTTATCCTTTTTCCCTGTTTCGCCCCCTTCTCATCATGCGTCACTGCTCTTCATGATATTCCCCCCCCCCCTCCCCCCACCTCATGCCTCTCCTCTGCAGCCTCAGAGGCGCCCAGTGAGGATGTGGACAAGGAACTGCAGTGGGTGATAAGAGCCGCACAGGAGAAGGGCAGCAAGCAAGGCAACCCTGCGGTCTTCTCCTCTCGGGTACTCATTCTTGCGTCACTGCACTGCTACCCTTGCCACCCTTGCTTCTCCTTGCCTCTCCATGCCTACGGCTCCTGAATGTCTTACCCTGTCTGCGATATTCCTGTTTGTTTGGCCGAGGCATTCTTTTTGGTGGCTGAGACTTTCTCTTTGCCATCCGTCCTGGTGTTTCCTTGTCACACAGCCCCTGCGTCTCAAGTCAATGGCACAAGGGACAGAAGTTGCCGCCCAGCTGGTGGCAGCGACAGCTGTGCCGCTGGAGGCAGGGCAGGTGGTGGATACCACCGGCGCTGGTGATGCCTTCATTGGTGCTGTTCTTTACGGTGAGTTGGGTTGTTTGATGTATGATGGGGTGAGTCGACTCTCTATCTCTGTGAGTCGACGCTCTATCTCTGTGAGTCGACGCTCTATCTCTGTGAGTCGGCGCTCTATCTCTGTGAGTCGACGCTCTTTCTCTGTGAGTCGGCGCTCTATCTCTGTGAGTCTACGCTCTATCTCTGCGAGTCGACGCTCTATCTCTGCGAATCGACGCTCTATCTCTGCGAGTCGACGCTCTTTCTCTGTGAGTCGACGCTTTATCTCTGCGAGTCGGCGCTCTATCTCTGTGAGTCGACGCTCTATCTCTGTGAGTCGACGCTCTATCCCTGCGAGTTGGCGCTCTATCTCTGTGAGTCGACGCTCTATCTCTGTGAGTCGACGCTCTATCTCTGTGAGTCGACGCTCTATCTCTGTTAGTCGACGCTCTATCGGTGAGTCGATTCTCTATCTCTGTGAGTCGACTCTCTATCTCTTTGAGTCGGCCCTCTATCTCTGTGAGTCGACGCTCTATCTCTGTGAGTCGGCGCTCTATCTCTGTGATGGAGTGTTAGCAGGATGTTCTTTTATGGTATGTAGAATGATGGCAACCGCTGCGTTCCATACCTCAGTCATCCATGCGTGATTGTGAGTATCTATTTATGGTGATGTATGGCTGTTGTTTTGAGCTATGTGCATGGCAAGTCCTTTGTTAATAGAGGTATGTCTGTACTGTGGATGAAACACATCAATCACTCCTTGGTGCTTTTGCTTACCAGAGTTGCATGATTCTTACTACATTTTTCCTGGCCCACACTACCCTACGTGCAGCCATTTCTGCTGGTTTCACTGTTGATCGCATGCTCGCACTCGGCGCTACTATTGTACGTATGCGTAAACTTTTCGACATCCGTCCTTTCATCCCAAATTCTGTTCCGTCCGTGCATCCTTCTCCTGAAGTCCTTACTCGCCGGTAACTAATATGTACTACCGGCATCATGGTATGGCTTCCATGTTTTTCACATACTGGTATCTCCATGTATGCAACCGTGACCCCCAGGCTGCAGCGAAGTGCCAAGCCCTTGGAGCGCGTCAAGGCCTGCCCCGCCGTGACGACCCTCGCCTTGCGCACCTTCTTGAGCCTGAGCGTGCTGTTGCTTCTGGTTTGTAAAATATCTACAACAGAAATGTACACTTGTACATTCCAACTTTTTTTTGGCCTTGTCCAATGACGAGGTCTGACATCAAAGCACCTCGTCTCGTCAGTCTTCCACAACGGTGTCGCCTTTTCTGTCCCCCACGTGACCGTTGGAGGGAAGTGGCGCTTCGATTCATGGCCTTGCCTTTAGGGACCACACCGAAATGCTCCCAAGGCGAATACAGATGCGAAGCCTGTTGCTGGTGCTGGCGCTGCTGCTGCTGCTGCTGCTGAGGCCCAATTGGAAAACAAGGTTGCCGATTGAAAGCCATTGAGGAAATGAAGCCTTTCAGTGCATCGCGATTCGCAACACTTCGTCGCGACCATCAAGTTGCGCGAGGTTGGCTTGCAACAGCCGCGGTGTAATCATGTGAAGGTTTCCGCTCTAATGTCACTGAGATTCCTTACGAATGTTTAGGCGGCGGTGGGGAGATTTCCTGAAAATGGCGTAGACGGAGACATAGACGGAGCTTTTTGTGTTGCTGGTGCTCGCCCTGGGATATGTTACTTTATGCAACTTTTTCTGCGAATATGGCCGCCATATAGTTTGCAAGATTACCTGTTTATCCATCCTCGATACAGAACGGTATGGCACGCGTGTCTCCCCTTACCGTCACAGTAAATAGTACCGCCATCGCTTTCATCATTCTAGTCGCGACTGGCTGCTGGTCATCAATCGCTGCAGAAAACCTGACGGTCAGCGACGCTTCAATAAGAGGTTATCCGCAGCTAAGGGTGAATCAGCGGGCCAATACGTGGTCAGGACCCGATGAAATTCCAAATTCTCTTTCAGAAAGTGGGAGATCAACGATTGTCGAAAGGGAATGGAGTGATACAGCTGCACCATTGCAGGAAATGAGGGACGAGCGCTCCGTGCTGGGTGGTCGGAGCTTGCTGAACAATATGAATGTATCTAGAGACCACTCAAGAAAACCTGGAAAATTAGCAAAGTCGACCGCTGCGGTGAGTAGCAGGAAGCGGGATAGCAGAGTACACACTCGACGGTCTGAGGCCTCAACTGGAGCACAGGGTGGGAGGATGGGCAAGCGAATCGATCAAGGGAAGAAGCCGCAAAAAGGAAATACTAGGCGGAGCAGTAATGGGAGGACTAAGAGACGCGCATCGGCAATGGTTTTTACCCCACCGTCGTCCACGTCATCATCTCCCCCATCCAATAACAAATCGCGATCTTCGCCATCAGCATCATCGCCATCAACGGCCAAGAAATCACCTCCACCGACAAAAGCCGTGTCATCCTTGTTCCCTCCCTCCTCAAGCTCTTCCTCCAATTCTCCCCGGAAACCGCCGTCACAATCACAATCACCAACGCCATCATCACCATCAGTGGCCCCACGAACAGCACCGGCGGCATGGGGTGCGTCGAGGATGCAGCTGGTGACGGTACCATCTGCAAGAGCCGTATGCCTCGACGGCAGGTGCGCCGCCCAACACAATAGGCCCCGATTAGTAGCTCCCAGCGTTCGACATCCATTGTACTCACAGCACGTCACGAGCGAACTTTCCCCATAGTGTTTCAACTTCGTCAATGTCACCGCGTCATTCTCAGGGAATTCCGCCTTTTCATTTGCACTACCTGACCCCTCAACCTCCTGTCACCTTTCTTTCCTCCCCCTCTCACCCTACAACCGTCCAACTCTCTATTCTGACTCACTGTTTCCTCTCATGGTCCATCCTGCATCCCCGTCGCTGCAGCCCCGCTGGTTACTACTTCCGCAAGGGGACGGGCACTGGCGCCAACAAGTGGCTAATCTACTTCCACGTAAGCCATGCACTGCCACGTCACTCATCAACCAGGGTGCCTCCCTGTACCCAGGCTCCCTCACCCTTCCAACCCCCCACTCACTGACTCTTCCTTGCGCTGCCCCTTCCCGTGCCGCTTTCCATGCGTTGCTCCCAGGGCGGCGGCTGGTGCACGACTGCAGCAGACTGCCAGCAGCGCGCCAAGACCTTCCGTGGCTCCTCGCGCTTCTGGCCGAAACCCACGGATGGCAACTTCACGAAGCTGGTAGGGACTTATGTACGGGCCTGTGGGAGTCTAGTAACGAGGATGGTTTGGGTAGATTAGAACTCGCAATGTCGGGTCAAGGACATTCTTTCAGAGGGTGGCATTCGTGACAACATCCACAGTGCTGGTATGTTCCTTGTGTTGGGAGAGGCCTGTCAGAAGGTCTACGAAGCGAGGAGACCTTGTGGACTTTAAATGCAGGGCTGGGTACGGTGTGGCGCTGGGGAAGACGGTTCAAGGATGGTGCAGAGAGGTGCAATGATGTGCAGAGAGGCGCAGAGCGGCACCAAGATATCGACTTGCAGGCTGGCGTAGCTTTGCCTTCTGCATTTCCCCCACACCCTCTTCCCCCACACCCTCTCATGTCACGGTCATTCAGACTGCGAATGATTTATGACGACCTCAGAAACTGTATTCTTCCCCACACTCCCCCTCCTCGTTCCCCGTACCCACCCCTCTTCACCACACTTCCCCTCCTTGTCCCCCGTACCCCCCCTTCTTCCCCATCCGCCCGCATTTCCCTCGCTGATGAACGACTACCACACTCAGTTCACGGGCATTCTGAGTGCATGTAATCTCTGAGGCACCTCAGAACCTGCCTTTTCCCCCACTTTCCCCCTCTGCGTCTCCCATACCCACCCTCCCTGCCCCATCCACCCGCATCTCTCCCGCAGATGAACGACTATCACACGCAGTTCACGGGCATTCTGAGCGCAGACACTGTAACCAACCCCGTTTTTGGCAACTGGAACCTGGCCGTGCTTATGTACTGTGACGGAGGGGCGTATATGGGGTACAAGGGCCGCGTAGCAGTGGGATCGTCGCGTGTGTTCTACTCGGGTCGGCGAGTCGTCATGCTGCTGCTGGAAGGTGCGTTGGGGCTGAAAGGCGTCGGAGAATCGCCACTGGAGGGTCTCATTGGGGAATGAGCAGCAAACGAAAGCAGTAGCTCCAAGATAGTAGTAGCATAAGGTGATTCTTCCACGGGACGTTGGAGAATATCAAGCATACCATGTGCTTAGTGGTCCGTGGGAAGAAATGGGAAATTCTTGTAGAGGCCCAAGATGGTTCATCCTGCGTCTAGGAGAATAGTTCTTACCGGCCCAACTCATGCTCTCTGGATTTTCCTCCTTGCAGATATGCTCAAGATCCGTGGGTTGTCAGCAGCATCAGCAGTGCTCATTACGGGTTGCTCAGCAGGGGGGCAGGGGGTGGCGGTGAGTTGTGACTGGATGGCCTCTCGCCTTCCCTCCACCGCCACTGTCAAGTGTGCCATTGACGCCGGATACTTCCTAGGTGAGACATTCCAAAAGTTTGTGAAAGTATTGGATAACTGGTTGAGATTTGAGCATCTTCTGCGAAACAAGATATGGTATTTCCATGTTCTTTGTTGATCCATGCTGCTGCGTGCCTTTTCCCTTCATCTTTTCCCTTCATCATTTTGTTCCATATGCTTCAACCAACCATCCTCTTCCCACACGTCCCAGTCTCCCCCCCTCTTTTTGCATTCCTTTATCTCCCTCTCCTTTTCCCTGGTACCTGCCCTTCCAGACGAGCCAGACCTGGTGGGGCACTTCTCGTTTCGTGGCATGATGCAGCGCATGATGGTCAGCCAATGGAGCGACGCGTCCTTTGACCCGCAATGCGTGAAAGGTGAGACCGTCACTGAACCTGCTCGTGAGGTATAGACCCTTGGACCCACAATGTCCGAATATGTCCACACACACACCCTGTCTCCTTCCTTCCACTCTTCTCCTCCTTCCAGCACAACTCCCCTCCAGGCTGGTTCGCCACTTTCTCATCCTCTCCCCATCCCTCCCCCGAATCTCATTGACTTGACCAGCCTATCCCCGCACTGAGAAATGGCGCTGCATATTCCCGGCCAACGCCCTCCAGCACACCCAAACGCCCGTTCTCATCCTCAACTCAGCGTTTGACCTTGCAGCGCTGGCCATTGGGCTGACCAGAGGCAACGTTGAGGCCATGACAGGCTCTTATGAGAGCGTTGTTCCGTGCTACAGTTCTGACCGCTTTCTCTCCTGCCCCAGAAGAATTCGCAAGTATGTAGGGCACCATGCTATAGTGCTCAGAAACTCACTGCAAGCATTGGTGCAGAATTGGCGAGCAGCAGGGGTGCAGTCAACAGCGGTAGTTCCTAACAAAACAAGCCATTGTACCATGGCTTATGACAATTGGTCTGTTCCTGATGCTAGTGGTGTCAGGCTGAGGGACATGGTAGCTGCTTGGTTCTTTGGCAAGCAGTTGTGACAGAAAGTAGCCAAGTTCCATCAATTACTTTGTTTTGCACATTCTTTATTGTAAGGGCTTCTATGCTTTCCCTGTTCCACAAAGCAGTCAACATTGGAGCTTTATTCAGGAACGTCTTATTGACATTGGCCAGAACTAGCATGCATAGCAGGGTTGTCAGAACGTATCATTTATCACATGCCACCCCTGGGATACCCTTCCGCCAGTCGTATAGTATTTACAGTGAATGCTTGGCAGAAAATGAGTAAACCCCTTTAGCCTTGAAGATCAGCAGGCGTGGCGACAGCTAGTAAAGGCCGCAAATCCGTAAACCCTTCGAGACGGACGACTCTGCTAAGCAGCCATCATCAACGGTCGCGTTTCCTCCACCTCCGGCTCTCGAAGCGGAGCAGTCGCAGCGGCGGGAACAGCGGCATGGTGGCCCTTGTACTACACCCTGGCGATGGCCGACTCGTACGACGCGAGCACGGTGAACGACAGCGTGAACGCCACGGCAACCCCGAGGACGAAAACGACGCCGCGAATCGTGTCCCACAGAGACTCTGGCGCAGCGGCCTTGGTCTCCTTGGCCTGCTTCGCCTCTGTCGCCATTGCGGGGGACGAATCTGGCAGCAGAGAGCTCGGAAGGTACTGACGACACGAATGGCCTGATAGACACTGAATAAACGGCTAATGAAAGCTGAAGCACAACTGAACGTCCTGTCTACTGTTATCGTGATGAGTTCCCTAGGACTTATCTTGCGCTACCTAGCCACAGATGTCGTCGAGCAGGCTCCTGTCTTGTGCCTAGCCTGCTGTCACGAACTTTTCGGTTCAACTGAGAAGGCGTTCCCACAGTTTCCCGACAAGAAAGTCTGCCCACGCGGCTCGCAATTTTGCAATTTTCGAGAAATTTGCCAACATGCGGCTCGAAGTTCGACCACAAAGTTTCCCATCAAATTCGTCGTGCGAGTGTTCATCCACAACCGTATACGATCTCATCTGACGGCCCACGATGCTTACCGAAATGGGCTACGACCCCACCCGCGATTTTGTGTCATTGCCCGAAGTTCAGCTGCCCAGTTTCTGAGTCAACGCCATTCAATAGCAGAAATGGTTCAGTGCGCCTCTGAATGTTTTGTTTTCAAATTTTCGGGCACCGTTTTACGCGGGAGTCAGAAATCCCAACCAAATCGCTGAGTCCATCCGATTGTCAGACGTGAAGGCCTATTGGGTGCGACTAGATTTTTTACGTGAGTGCTGGTCAGAAGGTCGCAATTTGGTCGTAACTTCTCGCAAGGACGCGGTGTCCTGAGTGGGGCAGTACCCCACTCTGACCACCATCCCGACAATTTTTGAGCCTGATGGGCAAACTTCGGTGTCGGGAAACTGTGGGAACGCCATCTGAAGCTTCACCGAGGCTGGTGCGTCGTTCTGGGCTCATAAAGTTTGTTCTTGCCTGAACAATCCCGGAAAATAACATACTCCACACCCACCGCCAACACTAGGAAATGGCTGTACACTGCGACAAATGCTCGGCTTGGATACCTATTTCGGCACGGAACTCCAATTTCCTGCCCAGTAAATTCGATGTGTTCAATCGTGTCATCCCCGAGCGCCAAAGCTACCGTTTCACCTGCCGAGTAGTTCGCGAGTACGTCTCTTCTCTCGAGAATGTGGCGCGCTGAAGGGTGTGGCACGTGAGCAGAGTTCCATGCAGCTGGAAATTGAACCCCCTTGAAATTCGCGTGCGTTCTTGCGGCAGACTTCATGCGTGTACTCAAGGTACGCTGACGTGCCATGAGGTGTGGTCTCTGGTGGATGGCATCGATAGGCAAAGCTCTGTAAAATCACAATTGAGCAAGTTTTAGTTGGATGAGCTGATGAGGACAATTTTATGCGATGTGAATACAGTTGGAGAAGGTGTAGCCAAACTCATCAAAGTTGTCAAAAATGTGTGGGAGAATCACAAACCGGCCGCGACATAGGGACAGCGCGCCGTTACGGGGACCACTTTCCGAGACGCAAATGGGGGGAAGCGGCCTTGAGTTACGGCGAGCATTCTGGAAGTGCTGAGAAGGGTGCTTGGTGCTCGCTCAATCGGTTGGTCCTTGTAACGAGGTGCAACAAACCCAAGTTGGTGAGATACGAACGGACCAGTGCGGAGTGTCGTGTACCGCAAACCCCCGATCTTCGCTAAAGGACAACCATTTGCGAACTAACGAACCCCATTATTACTGTCGCACAAAACATGCGGTCCGCTGCAGCCAGGTCAGTGTGAGCACATTTTGGTTGTGCAGGGCATACTCCAATCGCATGAGCATTTCTAAGTGGCCGTTTCACTTTCGTCATCGTCGTAGTCGTCGTCATTTTCGACGCTCAATCACATCTTTTCGTCACAGCCACCTATTACGCTCTGTTATTCGTCGCTTGCGGGGCTGCGACGCTGTGCGACGCACCTTGTTCTCGCTGGGAACTTCACGCATATGTGAGCAGAAGATTTTTACGCAGTTGTCCGCATATTCGTCCGGTAATCGCGCAGTACGGTTCAGTAGGTTGCCACACGGTAATAAGTAGGCTTCCGTTATCACCGTTTCGAACCGTATATTACCTTCTGGAAACGAAGACGCTGAAGACCCACCTGCCTGACCATCATACACCACACCACATGCACCATCCCTCCCTCTCCTCCCACCACTCCTACCACCCTTGAACACTTAGTGCTAATGACTACTATTTGCAAGACACCACCCAGCCTGCCTGTTTCCCCTAGTCTCTCTCGTCCGAGTCCTTCCACACAAAACGACGAGATGACAATTGTGGTGGCACCCCAGTCACACTCTCTCCATACTCACACGGCTTGGCCTTGACTGATCGCAGTTTCCCTTGCTACGCGGCCGGTCACATTACGTCTGACAACCACCACCGCCTGCAACTTCCTTGTGGATAGGAAATGCAGATGTCTTAGGGCCCTCGGCCTAGTCGCAAAGCTTTTCGCCGTTTGTAGTATGACCCGTCCATCCTCCGCGTCCACGCAAGCCGCAATCCGTCATGGATCAGGATTTTCCAGATTTTCTGTTAGCATTGCTTCGCTGGTCGTGAGCTCCTTACTCCGTCACCATGGCTTGTCGAAGTCGTCGACCAGACACAGTTGCGCAGCGGTGCTATGAAGTAGGATAGCGGACAGTAGCGACGACCGATTGCAGGTCCGTAGGATCTTTGCTCTGACTCGTTGATAGAGGTGACAGAACCCGTCAATCGCACATTTAGAGTTCCTGCGGTTTGGAGAAGGTGGCTCGAAGCTCACATAGCGTGGTTAAGGCGTCTCGAACCGCGAGTGCGTGCTGCCGTTGGCCATGGCGGCTGCCGCCGTGCTGCCACCTGGCAGGGCGGCGCGGGCCGTGGTGTCGGCGATGGAGACGTACCACGACGCGCGCATCCAGTTCGTCGGGAAAGTCAGCGACCTCGCCTTCTCCCCGCAGGTAACTCTTCTTTCTCTCTCTCTCTCTCCCACACAGGCCCGTGAGACACTTCGGAAGTAGCTTTGCGGAAAGGCGAGCAGCGGACAGGTTCCGCTTGGCGCACGAGCAGCAGTAGGTTCCGCCAGGTCTGGTTCGCACGACGAGCAGCGGATGGTGCGTTTTCGCCGGGACGGTGACGTCTGAAGCGGGAGCAGCGGCGGTAGTCAACTAGGTGGCGGTACCTAGAGAATGAAGCTGACGCGGCCGACGGACGCATCGACGGGCAGAGGGGGTTCGGGGCGAGGCAGAGGTTCGACGCCATGCGGTGCAATAGGGAGACGAGGAGAGGGGGAGGAAAGCGGAGGGAATGGGAGGCGAGGGGAAGGGGAATTGAGGCGAGGGGAGGCGAGGGGAAGAATAAAGGGGCAGCGGCGAGGGACGCAGGGAACGCGGAAGCCGAGGGAAGCGGTTGTAGATATTTGGACGGGTAAATACACGAGAAGGCAAGGCGAGGAGATTGTCGGGGTGCGAGCAGATAACCTTCGGCCGCGCGCTACTGCGTGGCGCGCTGTAGTGCGTGGCGCGAGGTAGTGCGTGGCTCGCCGTTGTGTAACGCGCGTTCCGGATAGACTCGCGCCAGGGTGGCGACGAGCAGCCGCGGCGGGCAGCGGTGTTGCCGTAGCTGTTAGGGACAGAGCATGACCGCTTCACCCTCGGCTCTGAGAGACGGGGGAAAGAAGAGACGTTCTTCCTCCCCTCCCCCCCCCCACCCACCCTCCGCCTCTCGCCCGCACTCCTGTCTTTCTCTCCCCGTTTCCCTCTTTATTGCCCTCGTCTCAAGCACTTCGTGCTCTGCTCCCCTGCGCTCCCCATCCTCCTGCCCTTCTCCCCCCCCGCCACACGCGCCGCAGAACGCGGAGGCGTTCTTTTCGCTGGGAGCCATGCAGCTGTTGCTGCCGCTCATGCATGACGTCATGTCTTCCGTGCGATCCGCCGCGATTCTCTCGCTGGGGCGCCTCGCGAACGTGTCGGACACGTGGGCCAATGACATCGTCGATCGCAACATACTCCCCGACCTCTGCAAGGCGCTCGCGTGAGTCCAAAGGCGTGATAACTTTTGCAGAGG